GGAGAGGAGAGGAGAGGAGAGGAGAGGAGAGGAGAGGAGAGGGAAATCTCATGGATTTGCATATGATCTCCAACATTAAATGAGATGAGAGGAAGTTTGTTTTACAATTAGGATAGGCCTTTGGCTCTACACATTATTTCCTGCCAGAGATTATGGAGTTTTGGAGTCAAATTATATAACCTAGGAGCAAATCATATGTAGAATATGAATTTGATATTAAGGAGAGAACATCCAAGCCACCCAGTTTATCCTGAAACTCGGCAAGCATGTGTTCATTCATCCCCAACAAAAAGAAATACAAACATTATTGCAACATGTCCCTGGTATGCATAGTCTTATTCTAGTAACCAAGAATAAGTAACTTACTGAACAAGTACACATGATTCATATTTATCTTTTCACACATTATATTTATATTTTTGTTTTATAATTCTATAATTGTCCAGTGGATTTGAAAAAAAAAATGAGGGAAAGAGAGAGATGACAATGAACTGACCTTTTAGTGCTAAACATAATGGTAAGTGTTTCGCTTCACATAGATGAGAAATCAGCAAAATCTTGATCTTGCAGATCTGTTAGGGAAAAAAATACAAAATCTTCAGGTTAAGTACTGACCTTGGCTTGATAGGTTTTAAGAAATAACTTCCACAAATCATGTTTGATATGAATTTGAAGCAACACAGATAGGCCTGATGCAAGGTTTGGGAAAGTATCTTAGACAAGCTGTTCTCTAACATTCTAGTGTCCCACCGCCACTACCTTAACTGGCCCACTGCACCAGAAAACTCAAGACAGCAGTATCAATTATCACCTCACTTGGCATTTCTATGCATTCTCTATTCCTAAAGAGTAGCAGGTTAGGAGAAAACAAGCAGTGCTCAGTTCAGTATTTGTTAGAGCAACATCCAATGAATAGATTAAAATGGCAGCCTACGTGAGAGTGCTCTTGGCTTTTTTTTTTACAATGCAAATTAAAAGCTCAGCCCAGCCCTGCCAAGGAGGGCTGCGCAAAGGGGCATTTTGGCACACTGCACTCCAGGAGCTTTTTACAGAGGGGCTTTTTCACACGCTGCGGCTCTCAGGCAGCTTTTGGCTTTTTGTTTTTTTTTTCCCCACAGCCAAAGCTCAGCCCAGCCCAGCCCAGCCCAGCCCAGCCCAGCAGCCAGGCTGGGAACATAATGTCAGCAGTGAGAACAAGAAGATGGCAAAGGTCAGCTGGGGTGGAGGAGTGCAGGGCAGCAGGGGGCAAAAGTACATGGACGGAGGGGAGATGGTGGGGAGTTGAAGCACCCCTGCAGTTGTAAGTGCGGGGATGCTGCAACAGCCATATTTCGGGCACCTATCATAAGTCATTTTTTTAGCGCGTTCGTAACTTCAAACAGTTGCTGAACAAATGGTTGTAATTCGAGGACTACCTGTAAAGAGTTTGTTGAACACTGATTCTTATGATAAAGAAGAACAGCAGTTACAATTTAGTAAGAGGAAAGCTGCATTTTATAATAACTGCGTATATATGGGAAGCATTGACAATATTGTTCCAACCCTTGGAAAAAACTGACTGTCTGAATCTTCATTTTCTATTCAACCATCCTATCCTCCTGAGCATATTGACTCGGAGAGACTTATACAAATTGTAACTTGGAACGCAGGCTGGAAAAAGTCTGTAGACAGTGATTTGGTGAGATTCCTTTCTGAATTTGAGATACATAGCTTTACAAGAAACCTGGATAGCAGGAGAGGATGACCCAGTATATCCCTGCTGGTATATCCCTGCTCAAAAATTAAAGTATAAAGGACAAGCCTCAGGGGGTTGATGCATTCTTACTAATGAAGAATTGCAATGGCAGGGTGAGAAATTATATAACAGAGATAATCTGCCTTACATACTCACCATGAAATTCAGATGTAAAGATTTTGAGTTTGCACTGGTCAATGTTTATATTCTACCAAACACATCCTCTTAATACAATTCTGACCATTGGACACATTTAGAAACACTGTTGGAAGAAATAATTACAGCGTTGAAAGTGGAAAGTATAAATACCCAAGCTGGAATTATTTCACTGGGTGATTTTAATGCTAAACTAGACCAACCTCGTCATGATTTCCCTCAATACAGTGGACTCCCAAATGAATTTTTTGATAATCATCCCCATTGGTATTCAATAGATAACAAAAGTAACACTGCTGTATTTGGTGTCACTGATTTTTAAATGTAATCTTCAAATTCTAGGACGCAAGGATAATAACTATGTATACCCATACACCTTCCACTCAGGCCACTTGAGCAGTGTGTTAGATCTCATTTGTGTATCAAAAATGAAAGCTGTCCTCTTCTCAGAGGTTGTCGTCTGTCCAAGAGGAGAAAGTGATCATCAGCCAGTGAGTGTGAAATTCCTAGGCTATTCAGACTTGAGGTCATATAACATGGCTGATAGGTGGGTGTTAACTAATTCAGAAGTGAGTCAGAATAAAAGATTAATATGGTCCAAAGTAGATACCAAGGCAATAATGAATAACCTCAAATCAGAGAATGCTATCAGTTGCACCTTAACAGTTTGGTCCCCCATGGCTGACTGTCGGTCAGTCTCCAATGCATTTACACATTTGTGCCACATGTTAAAAAAAACACCTAATAACTACACCTTCCTCCAAAACTTTCCTTATAGATAGATCCCCTGGTTTGACAATGAATGCCACATGATGAAAAAGAAATTGAAGGCAGCTATGAGATTTGCTGAGAGGCATTCCTCTGCACATAGGCAAGCTAAGATGCTGTTTTTAAGAAGAGAATATAAGAAACTCATTCAAATCAAAGAAAAAAAGTTATGCTGCTTCAATTTGGACAGGTCCTCAGATGTCAGCAAGAAGTCATAACTCAGCCATATTTTGGCAATCTTGAAAGAATGGAGATTCGCATTCCATATACCAATCTCAGCTGAGGATTGGGAAAATATTACCATCACTTCTTTGCTCTCTCAGAATCTGTTGAGAAACAGTTACTAAATAGTGATTTACCACCTACTGAAGCTATGCCCCTCTGGCCACCAGTTTCAGAAAATGAGATCAAACCTATTATAAAAGGCCTGAAGAGCAATAAAGCCCCTGGTGAGGACTTTCTACCAGCTGAGCTACTCAAAAAATATCCTGATTGGTCAGCCCCCTCTTTTGGCAGGTTTATTCATGCATACAAATAATACCTGCCATATCCCAGTTGGATGGAAGATGGCAACTGTAGTTTCCATACACAAAAAAGGGGGAAAAAGGATCCTAGCAATTACAGGCCCATCAGTCTAATAGATATTGTGGCTAAAATGTATGCCAGATTCCTCTTGAAAGTGGATAGCTGAAAAACATATTCTCACAGAAGAACAATCTGGCTTTAGACAGAGTTGATCTACTATTGACAATTGCTTTGTCTTGAACCATCTAACTATTAAATATGTCAGTGAGGGGAGGCCACTGTTTGCTGCTTTTATAGCCCTTAGTGTAGTGTTTGACACAGTTAACAGAGAATTATTATGGAGGAAATTGACTGTCCTCAATACGGAACCCAGAGTGCACTGATTAATGCCCTTTACACAAATACTTGCTTGAGATTACGGTTTGGGGTTAATGGAGCCATGACAAGCAGGATCGATACTCACAAAGAAGTAGGACAAGGGTGCATACTTGTTCCAGTGCTATTCAGTCTATACATTAATGACTTACTAGGACTGATGAAGGATCCTGAAGTATACATACCTAAGATACTCAACACATATTGTAACACTGTGCTATATGCTCACAATATGATTCTGTTATCATATTCACAAGTTGAATTGCACAGATTTGGACTTGGCTCCTACTGTCATAACAATTCTCTGATTATTAATAAATCAAAGTCAGTGATCATGGTTTTCAGAAAATGACATCACAGCCAGAGATGGCTATTAGATGGTGAATCAACAGAGCAATCAACACCTTTCCTTATTTAGAAGTAGTGTTCTCTGAGACTGGATCTTGGCTCCCTCATCATCAAAGGAGCTCACTTAGAGAAAGGGCATGTATGAACTCACTGCTAAAATTAATAAATCACTGTTATCCAGGTTCTTTAGCCTCAATTATTAAGATATACAAGCCAAAGTTACCCCTATGCTGTTATATGGAGCTGAAATTTGAGGCTTAAAACATGTACCATTAGTAGAGCAAACACAGTCACAGCATTTGAGAAATATTCTGGGTGTGGATAAAGGACCTCAGCTGCTGCAGTTAGAGCCAACTAGGAATCTCTACACTTTGTTCTTTACCTAAAATCAGGGCGTACAATTATTGGTGCAAAATCAATGCTATGGAAACTGACAGATTCCTCAAATTTTGTCTAATAGAACAGACTAAATTTCATTTAGTCTCCCAACCTCCCAAAGTAACAACACACTACCCTTCCTGGATATTCTCATCAGCAGAGGAAACGACAGCAAATTAGAAACACAAGTCTATTGGATTATACAACTCACAAACTATATCAGGAACTGTGGTCTCCCTGTTTCTCTGGAAAACAAGCTAAAAAGACTGCTGCACAAAGAATTTTGGATACAGAAGCTCAGAGAGATATAGCTACCCTCAGTAAGGCTGACACGTTGAAATGGATGAGCCGCTATAAATGCACCTTCCAATTCGCAATATATTTCAACATAGAAATGCCCAAGCGTCTTAGGGGAATATTTATTTGAGCGAGATTTGAGTGCCTGCACACAATGGTTAAATATGGTAGGTTTAGCCAAGTTCCTTCAAATGAACATACTTGTTTTTGGGGAACTCCAGAGATAGATGACATAGCACATGTATTATTTGAATGTCAGCTGTGTAAGAAAGAGAGAGATCAATGTTTTGGACTGCACATCAGACAAATGGTCTTTTGGGATCCTTATATTAAAACAACATATTTCATGTGCTGTCAGAATTCAAATATTACATATAACATGACCCTTTGTCTGTACAAAACAGTACAACTGAGAATTGCATATGTGGATCTGATTGGGATAAATTGTAGGGGTGACACAGAAACATGATTTACATTTCTTTTTAATTCTGCCTTTTACTGTGTTTTGTAACATTTGTCTTATTATTGTTCTGTATTTTGGAGGAAGAGGAGGAGGAGGCGGCGGCAGCATCTTTAATGTTTACTTCTGGGTAAAAAGATAATATTAATACGTATTTGCAAAATTCATCAACATATTTCAGGACTTAATAACACCTTAGATGTTTAGAGCTTAAGATTTAAAAACAAAAAGGTAGTTTGGAGCATGCAGTCACATCAATGTATCATGTTTCTGCAACTTCTTAAAAACCAAATTATCAGCTCTACTAGGTAGACCAGACCAGGAAATCAACTCCACAGGAAGGCTAAAACTAGCTTTATTGAGGTTGGCTATAACAGAATCTTGCAAATCTGATTATGTTGCATCTCCTCCAACTACTTGTAGTTCAGTGAATTGGGAGATGTCTGTCAGAGGCACTTCCAAATATTATCTGTCTATTGTAGACTGAAAGTATTTTTTCATACACACACACCCCAATCACCCTAGCAATGGAT